CCTTCCCGGCGCTACCTGCTGGCCCCCGGCGCCGTCTCCGCCCTGGCCAGTCCTTCCCGGTGCCGCCCGCGTCCCCTGTTCCAGTCCGCCGAGCTTTGGGACACCTTCCCGCCGCCCCCACTTTCAGGTCGGGTCGCCCGGCCAGGTAGGGCAGATCGGAGCTCGTTTTTGCTCCCCCGAGCGAGGTGGAGAAACGCGGTAAGCGACCCCTTTCCGTTCCAAAGGTCGGGGAGCTGGGTGCTGGCTGACACCGGGGGCGACTGCTGGGAGGGGAGACGAGGGTGTGCAGGGCGATTGGGTGCCCTCCCGCTTCCCTTAGTTTGATTGAAAGCCACAACATGTTAAAGTTTTCCTTTGTTTTGGGCTGGGGGGTGGGGGAGGAAATACACCATTCGGGATTCACTTTTACCGGATTGTGCCCCTCAGCTTCGCTTTTGGTTCGCGTCTCTGAGCCCAAGTCTTCCCGAAAATGTGTTTGAAAGTGGGCTTTTCATTTTTAATTGCTCCCAGCTTTTGCTTCCTTGGGCACGAGGCAGAATTGTTTTAAGACGCTCTTCGACAATCTAGTCTGATATAGAGGATTGCTTTCTAGTTGGGTTTTTGTAGTGAATGGGACATAGCGTAGTGCGGATTTGATTTCCTGCATGCATAATTAATTGATTCTGGCACGGAGTAACCTACCCACTCACTGCCATCCAGTCAATTGCCACTCATAGCGACCCAGGGACTAATTTACGGCCCAGTAATTTACAAATTATGAGAGTAAATGAGAAGTTAAGCCTCTGGTAGAACCACCACGTCATGTACATGCCATTTATTTTGCCTGTGTATTCTAGTGGTGTGCGCACTCCCATCTATAATTACAGCACATCTGTGTATTGTAACTTCAGGATCACGGTGCCAAAGATACTTTGATAATTCTGAGTGTTACTCGCCTTATTAAATGCCGATAGTTAAATTACCCACTAGGAAAAAATATTACTAAATGTGCACGTGTGATCATAGAGCTTGAAGGGGAAGTAAACGATGAATCTAATATCAAAGTCGCACTGTGTTTGGCACTCAGGGCAGTAGGTATTTTGAATGGACAGGTAATGGAGAAGTGTCTTGTATCGAAAGCAAAGATCTTATTTGTATCACTTGATTGTCATATACTGTACGGAAGTTGTACTCATTCACCAAACTGCGTGTGTGCAACACATTTGTGAGACTCCTGCCATAGTTGACGTTTAAGAAAATGAGTTTTGATTGTATTTTAATGTGGGAATATCAACCATACATTAATGGAGATGTTAAAATGCTGGTTGACAATTAAAAAGATCCGACATTTTGAAGAAGGGAAAACTTGCCTTTAATCGGAATCTAAATACAAGACACTTCGTGTCCTTTTTTCCAAGATAAAGAAAAAGGAGATCTTAAAATATGTACTCCATGGTAACCGCCATACTGTTGTTACAGCTTTAATTTTGCAGTATGTTTTCGCTGACTTCATAAGCCACAAGATTGACTCCGTTCTGTTCAACCAAAAGTGTAATTACAGCTTTGACTGTCTAACTGGGATAAGTGGAATTTGTCTTATGGCTGAAGCATGGCTGAAGCATATGAACAGTAGGGTTGAAGGTTTTTGGTTTTTTTAATTCAGGAAATTCACCAGCTGAAACATTAGTGCCCGGGCTAATAGCTTTCATGATATGCTGTGTTAAAGGAACAAGTATGCTAAAAGAGTAACAATCGCCATTACACCTGAATTCATAGCAATCCATGGTGTAAGACCTATTTGTACAGAGTTCCAATTGGAATCATTTTAGGCAGTAGAGAATTCATTAATATAGTTAATTTTTCTTTTCAAATATATTTCATTTTCAGTCTCATAAATGTGTTCAGTGTGGGCATCATTCATTAGTTCCTTTAGCATTATATTAACAAAGAAGCCTAATATCGGATTTTTACAGAGCTATACTATCCGTGCTGCTTAGAAATGCAAATTTGATAAAACTTAAAAAAAAAAAACTTGCAAGGAAGTGATGTCTATAAAGTAAAGGAAGATAGGGAGGCGGAAGAAGGTGTTGATTGGGACAAACATATGTAATAGTTTTCTGGAACGGGGGCAAAGTTCTCTTAACCTGGTGGCAGTTGAAGGGGTGTTGGCCTCAGTGTAATTCAGTGGTTCTCAACCTTCCTAATACTGCTACCCAGTAATACAGTTCCTTATGTTGTGGTGACCCCCCAACCATAACATTATTTTCGTTGCTACTTCATAACTGTAATTTTGCTAGTTATGAATCGGGCGACCCCTGTGAAAGGGTCGTTTGACCTCCAAAAGGGTTGCAACCTACAGGTTGAGAACCACTGGTGTAATTCATTAAAGCTCGTGTTTATTTGCTTCTTTGTATCTGTTTTACTTTTCATAAAATTATTTTTTTTGTAAAGAACCCTATATGCAATATGCTATTTAAAGTGGTTGGTTTAAGGATTTACTGTTTGGTGACTGGGCTGCCCTTTCCAGCTCAGTCCAAACAAGATTAGATTTATCAGAACATAATCGTCATATATAAGCGTGTGCCTACAACCACCCTGCACATGTTCCCTTAGTCACTTCCCAGTATACAACTAAAAGGTTTTGAGGAATATGTGGAACTATCGTTATGTTCATATTTTGTGGGAAGATACCAGAGTTGACATTCAAATATTAAATCCCCTTCAGCTTTTGCTGTGATACCTGACAGTAAGTGACTGAATGATTATTGAACTAATGGACCCTCTACTGTCAAGTATAAACTATAACCTACTTTTCAGAAGATTATGTAGCATGATGTTTAAAACAGAAGACTGATGTCAAGGTAGTCAGCCCACTGATCCACTTCCCATTTCCTAGAACAGCAATTTTATTTTGTACATCAGTAATTTCAGCCTTCCTTTTGATATCCTTAAGGATAGTATGAAATTCCCAGCATAGAATTTTTCATGTCTGTACACTCAATGGAGACGTGTTGTATCGTGCCAGGCGGAAGGACACAGTGTTTCAAACAGAAAGCGAATGACAATCTGGTGTTGCAGTTTCGAAAAATGCTGAGCATCATTTGTTGCGCTGCTTTTCTTGCTTTGTATGAAAGGATTGCCGGTTTCATGTTGATTTTGATGTTTTGTTTTGCATTGTTGCAATGCAGGCTTGAAAAAGGTCTCATCCGTGCCAAACTCTTCTACCACAGGAACTTTCAGTCATGTTATAAAGTGATGTTTTCAACACTGGCTTCTTTCTGTGGATGTTTACAGGAAGTTTTAGTAAGATCTTGCATTGTTCGGAACCTTACATGGTTTAGGTCATCTTCTGTCCACACGTACGCAGGTTTGTACTATAAATGCAAGTTCCTCTGATGAGGTACAGCTGCTTTCTTTCAAGAAAGTAATCGCTTCCTGTTACAGTATCTCAATCGTTTATTGGTGCGTTGTGGAGCCGTTTGTGTATGGTTGTGGTAGAGTATGTATTATCTCTTTTTTTCCTCTCAGCTGCTCCTGTGCCACAATTAGGCTGAGTAGTGCTCAGCTGCAGCTGCTGGGTGATTATGAGCCACCAGCTCATGTCTAAGCTCAGAGGCAGATTTAGCAAAAGGCGCTACAGTTAACAGCAGAGAGTGAAAGAGAATAGCTGGTGCTGCTGCCAGCATCATTTTAACGTGTCTCTAGGCCAAGGAACCGTTGGCTGCAGCAGCCTTCCTCTTGTGTTGGGGCCCGTGAACTGGATGGCGGCATATTCTGGGCTGGATTGGGATTACCTGGTGTTCTTAAAATCTTCAAGCCCACTCCAACAAAGAGAGAGTTTATGTTGCAGGGTAAGGATAATAGACTGATGAGTTGCTGTTAGACTGGATTATGAGACTCCACTCCTTTTACTTCCTAACCGGATCTAGCAGTTTCCCTTGTTTCCAGTGTACGATAAAACTACAAGCCCACAGTTTCCCAGAAGCATATCATTGTGCTGCTTCGGGGTTTCTCAGAAATGCTGCTGCTGTGTGCTCCTGTTTGAGGGGTGTGGGGAGAGCTGGTGTGCACGCTCTTTGAACTCCCTACCTTTCTCCCATGAAGTGGAAGGCCGGCCTCCAAGAGGGATTATTTTAGAACT